TAACATCAATCAAAGTTAGAAACCACTAGCCTAGAGGTATAGAGAAATGGAAGCCCAATTTGACCAACTGCCAGGCTTCATTCTCCTTCAAAACACTAAATATTCCATAAGAAAGATATTTTTCTCCAGTACTCATCATATAATAGTGATCCCAATAATAATTATCTAACACTTGAACACTTCCAGTTATTAAACAAAATTTCAGATACTTTAATTCCACTTGAACTTCAAAACAATCTGTGAGATAGTCTATTATGAATTTCTATTTTGCAGATGAAGAACCTGAGGCTCAGTGAGGTTAACTCATATACTCTGTAGAAGTGCCCATGTAGTCTGTACTCAATTTCCCATTTTCCAATTCTAAATATAGGGTTCGTTTAACTAGTCTTTGAACCCTATATTAAGAAAGGCCATCTAATGATAAAAGTTCTTAAATTTCCTCTCACTTCTAAAAGAATGTGCATACTTTTACATCTATCTACAGCCAAAACAAAAGTAGCCTTGCTGTACCATCTTTCTAAATGACCTCTCTTCTCTCTTCTTAGTGACATTCTTACTTCACATCCTGTGAAAGAAAGGTTTATTCTTTCACAGAATCCAATTGCCGTGAAGAGACCATGAAAAGAGGCAGGAGGTAGTACATTTCCTCAATTACTTGAAACATACTCATTAAAATGTGATTTCTCCCTTTATTTCATATGCAAAAATTTTATTACATGCGTGTTTCTGTTTGGGTTATCTTACTTCATTGAGGGTGGAATTCTCATGAGAATAAAGACAAGCGTTCTTATCCTGGTTGCTATATGACTGTGGATAAGTTATTTAAACTTTATGGACTTCGGTTTTCTCATTAAGAGGGTAAGTTGGACTAGGTGATCTCTTCCTTCCATCTCTAACACTCTATGATTCTGTGTTATGTCTTTTAGATGTGATTGACAGATTGTTATGCAAATAACAATTCATAAGTATTTGCTGAAGAAATGACAAATGACATTTAATATTTTGAGAACGGCTACTGGGATCAAACACAGCCAAGCACATTATCAAAAGTATTTGGCTTTCACTACTGGAATTTGGAAAAATATCTAAAATATACGTGTCAATACTCTCTATGTACTTCTTTTCATTATTAAAACTAAACTGCAGCAAACGTACTTGGTTTGGAGAGCTGGAAATTACTGATCTCCTTTTCGCTCTAAATAATCTAACTTACTTATTATCTAAATTAGGGTAAACAAATTAGTCCATGAGTGAATTTCATCAAAAACTGAAGATCACCTCATTTCAGTGCAAAAAAATTATTTTCATATGAAGTATTTTCAATAGAAGTTTTTTTTACAAAAACTGTTACACATTCTCCTGCCTCCTTAACCATGGTATTTTACCTCTCCTTGATTACCCATAATGCCATCAATACGCAAAGCAGTTGTTATATTGTGTTAGGCTAGATTTTAGTCATTAGAGTGATATTTGAAGTATCTACTGGAGTGCCTAAGTCCATCTGCCCCTCCACGGAGTGTCCACAAACTATTGTACTGAATAACTTTAAAGTAAACAGAAGAGCCTGTCTACTTGTATTTCTTCTTGCCAGCTGTCATAGTTCATGATTGTCTGTGAACCAAGTGGGTTCTAATCTCCTTTATTTTAGGTAAAATGGCTTGAGAATGGCTTCATCTTTTCAACTAAGTGAAACTGCAGGCTCTGTGACATCTGCTTTCCAATCAGAAGTTGTTTACATTTATTTTCAGATTCATGGCTATGTTCCATACAGTTGTATTGCTGGGAACTGGATTTATAGATAAATGGAGATCTCCTCTACCACCCTATCAAACCTTCAAGTGATACCTTACATAAAGGAGCTCAAGAAATTGTGAGCTATATAAAAACAATAATCACTATTATCCCTACAGTAACAATAATTCCAAATTCACAAGAAAAATGTACAAATTGAGTTCCAAAAGTTGAATTCAATTAACAAAATAATCACTGCACAGACTTGCATTTCTTCACTATAACATATAAAACATAAATCTACATTATGAAAGATAAGCACACATGGATACATTTAATAAACCTTCAAGTATTCAAATAATGTGAATATTTTGAAATATCTTCTATTTTATACTTTAAACCTTTCACATGTCATTTGTATTTTTGCAAGAGACTGGCAGTCTCTTTACATAATTTTTACTGTATTCAGCAGAATCATTTGAATTTTGAAATCATCATTAAAAAATTTTTTAAGCCATAAAATATATTTTAAGAAGTTCTTTTCCCATTGTTTTCAGCAAATATTCTTAAATTAGCCTATGTACACACCCATGAAAAGAAACTCCTTCTTTCCTGTCTAAATATTTCTGCACAACAGGGTAATTGGTTTCAGTTAAGTGTTGTCAGTGGACAGATTCCTTCAGAGAGACCACAGAAGACTCCTGCTGCCCTATAAGAGAGGCCCATGCAATTGGCAACACTAACACTGCAATCAATTAGCAAGATACCATTTTAAGAGCAACTGTCTATAATCCTAAACTTGTATCATTAAAAAAACCCAACAAATTAAAGGAAGTTTCAGTACTTTTATGGCTCTTTCACATTTTTGTTTCACAAGAAATAACAATCAAACTCAATTTATTAATACTACTGAGATTTTTATATCATTTCTCAAACGTCTCCATATTTTATCTGTTTCCAAACTCAAGTACCACTATCCTGAGAAGGTAGGGGTTTTTATGGCTTGCTAATCTTTATAGAATCTGTTTCATGAGGAGACCACAGAAAGTCCTAGGCTTTACTTATGTAACTCAGGTTTTTTATAAAGAATGTCCCTTGAAGGCTTCTGTTTCTATGAAAGCTTGCTAGAATTCCTTATAGTTAAATCACAGGAGATTCCTTGCAGTCAAATAATGGGCTTCAATTCCTAGGTATAATTTATTAAGTTTTTATTCATACTTAAGTTTGAGTATATGTTATTTCTGAAGCAAACTTTCTTTTTCTTGATTTCACCATCATCTCCACTGTGTAGTGCTGCTATGTATGAGTGCAGAAATCACACCAGAAAGTAAAGGCTATAAGTGCTGCCATTAACAGATGCAAAAAGCAATCATAATCCAAAACAGTAACAATTTATTGCAACTCACACAAACTCTATGAGGTACTATCCAACTCTATGAGGTACTAGTCTATAATTTATTTTACTATTTTTTTCAGAGACCTTATTTTTCACTGGCTATACATCAAAAAATAAGAATCAGCAATTAAAAAATAAGATTGAGAATCTGTAATAAAAAAAATCTAAAACCTTTAAGATACCTTTTATATAATAGCCAATCTTGAACTGAGTCTTCAGTCTGGTAAACTTACACTGGAAATTATGACTGTGTTAAAAAACCACTTAACAAGTATCCTTACCTCCAGTCTCTTTCCATTAAATATGTCTTGCCCAAAATCAAAAAGTCATCTCTCTAGAAAAAATCAAAGTTTCATTGTTTTGCTTCAAAGCCTTACATAGCTTCAAAGCTATGTTCTGCACAAAGAACAAACTTATTAGCTTTACATACAAGCAAATCCCTTAATATATGATCCAAACTACTTTTAAGATCTCATCTCCCACTAAACTACTCAATTAACTCCTTGATTCTCCTTCTGTAATACCAACCTCACTAAATATATCATGGACCATTTACCACAGACATCATGGACTTCACCCCTAGGTGAATTTTCCTTCTGCTTCAATATTTCTCTTTTTATGACTTCTCTAAGTTCCTACTCAAATAGCACTTTCTCTAGAAACTTCCCAATCTCCCTTTCTCCCAGAGTTTCCTGAAAACTCCTCTGTATTGTGATAGTTCCTTGATCAAAGTTTAATTTCAGCACTTCCCAGACTGCCTTCCATTTTTTTCCCATTCTCCATGTGCCTCCCCTTCTAATTTTTTAACTCTTCAAACATAAGAACTGTGTCTTATCTCTGCATGCAGGGTTTAACACACAGTAGAGACTCAATCAGTACTGGCTGACTAAATAGTATACAATTACTGTGTGATACATTCTTTTCTCTGACATTATCTTAGAGTTAATGCTTCTGAGTGAACTAGCATGGATGGGGAGATGTGGCCAAGGCAACTAATCACTACAGATCATTACATTGGGACCTATGCAGAGGCCTCCTTTCTCCTACCTAATTCTGCATGCTCACTTGAAAAGAAAAATCATAACTACTGTCTTGGTTGAGCTATGCTAGTAAAGAGGAAAGGATTTCTTCATTTTATTTACTCTGAATTGTGACATAAGTCACATGGGACTAGAAGGCCCTTTTGGCTATGCAACTTCATTATGGGCTTGTGCAAATCATTTAACCTCTCTGGGACTCATCTGAAAAAAACAGAGACTATTAATGCTTTGATTGTCATAAGGTTTTAAGGCCAGACTAGACTAACATATTTTTCAATTCTAAGATCTATGATTCTATTCATTCATCCATCCATCTGTCCATACGTCCATCCATCCATCATCCATCCATCCATTCATGAATGCTTGAGATCTCTTACAACTCTAATATCAGCAATTCTGTATCTATGAAAGTTGGATTCAAAGCAAATGTAAGACATCCCAAACATTCTGCAAAAATTCATACTGTGTCAAAAAGAATGACTTGAGGGATGTGCAGAATAGCAAGTCAGAAGCTCATGAATACTGAAACCAATTTCTCCAGTTGGTATTTGCTTGGGTTTGCTCCTTATGTTTGTGTTTCATTTCCCTGTCTGAACAGTTTGGGATGTCACACTTAAAAGGGACCGAACAAGCTGACTGATAAGTAATTTTTAAAAATTTGGAAACAGGCAGGATCACTGAAATTCTAAATCATATTTAAGAACTATCCGTAGTGAAAGCATGCCAACAATAAGAACATTCTTTTATACTTAGGTATTTGTTCAGAAAAAAGGAGACCCGAACAACTAAGAAATACATAGCTTGGACATATCAACGATAACTTCAGAGTCTACCTTTGTTTCTGCTGCATGGGTTGTTGCCTCATAGCCATATACTGCATGTCTTCTTGCAGACGATTAAGAGGGGAATCTGGCTTGACACGAATCCCATAGTAGTGGTATTTGGAGTTTCCTCTTCATTAGCGAACAAGAAACATTAGAAACAAAAGTCAGTCAAACTAATATTAATCACATGGGATGTCCATTAAACTTCACACTTGGAAAAATTTGGTAAAAACAGTATATTAATGTTATATATTATGATTAACCTGTACTGAATACTTTTATGTTTTCATGGTGATAAAATTTGAAGAATCAAAATAAGAGTCTAAATCAATCAGCTAAAGGCCCTGCTAAAGATATTTGTTCATAAACTTTCACTTAAATATTAGTCAAACAGTCCATTTGTTCTATACAAATTACATTTCATTTTCAAATTTCTATTTTAAATTTAGTTAAGAAGGGTAAAGATAGGAAAAAAGTTTTTAGCCAGTAAAAATTAGTTAACAGGCCAACAAAAATCAGTCAGTGAATACGCATTCACTGTAAAGTATGTATACAGAACAAAGAAAAAAAATCTTAATTCTACTTTCCTGGATAAGTTCGACATTTTTCTCTTTACTTCAGTGATGATGAAGTAAGATAACTTAATTATTTGTTACAAAATGTTGTGGTAAAGACTTACTTAATATTTTGTAACCTAAAAAGAAAGTAAGTCTTTAATCTACTGATTTTGAAACACATTTTATTAGTTTCTGTTTTTATGGATTTGTATCAGTTCTGCAGACTAAACAGGATTTCTCACAACAGACATGGGGAAATTTCTCTATGAAAATGGCAAATTTCCACCTGGAATAAAAATGTCACAATTTCGCCATGTTCATGAGAAAGACCATGTTTGCTATTAGAAATGATAAAGTTTTGCTCTGAATGGAATTTGCAAATTCTTGCAAAATATCATCTTACATATGTAAATTCTTGCAAAGAGAAAATAGTAGTTTTTCACAAGTCCATATATGGCAATACATCAGTGCTTTTTCCAATTTTTTCTTCCATTTACAAAAAGAAATGCAAGAAGAGTATGGATTAAATATTTTTTATAAAAATAGGGCAGAATTGTACTTCCAAGATTTAAAAACATATATTAAATGAACCTTATACATATTTGAAGACATTAAAATCATATTACATAAATTATACTGCTGGTTTAAAAAAAATGCAGGGCATCCAAATATCTACATGCTTTCAGCACAATAAAGCAGATAAAGAAACTTAATGCCCGTAAAGCAAGGCCTTCCACTTGCAGAGATTAGATCTTGTCTTGAAAATCCACTGCAGAAAGGTGCAATAAGCCAAACCAAAAAATTCCACATACCCAATTTGTGGTGTTCTCCTGTACAAACTGGGGGACACTAAGGAGTGGAGGTAGGGTAGGAAGCAGGAGGCATTACTTACAAGACAAAACTACAGAGGAAAATGACATCTCTCTTGTGAGACCTCAAATAGATGGGGTGCCTTTCCTACAAATTAACATTTTAGTTGGGTTGGGAGAGGTTCTTTTTATTTCACTGGGAATGGCTGGGGGAGAGAAGTATATCCATGGTCTTCTTTACTCAAACTTAACCTGGAGATGGGATCTAACAAAAGGTACCTTTTTATTTGCCTTTGTTTAAAACAGTGATTTGATTTACTTTTTGTTTACTAAGGTCCAAAAACTTTAGAAAAGATCTGGTTCTGGTTTGAGTGGTTTCACCAGATTATTTTATTGATGGATAATATTAATAATAGTTTTACATATAGTTCACTTTTTAAAAAAAGTATTTGATTTAGTTTGCCTCATGATTTACATTAATTTTCCATCTGTTTCTTGGATTAGGAGTAGAAAGTAAACGCAAAACAGTTTCTATGGTAGAAAGAATGTCTAGTACCTTACTCCTACAATTGCCAGTTTTTCTACATTAGAATTCTATCTTCGTAACACTTCATTTCTTTAAACTCCCTCCATAGTACTTATTTTCTCCTTATTTTTCTAGGCTTCGCTTCACAAACCTAATTGCAAACACTACATACAATTAAAAAAAAAAAAAAGGAGACATAATTCATAATTGTTACATAGTGGTGGGTGGGAGGAACCCAGAACATCAGAAAGTAAAAGCTGCAATATTGCAATATGTACTTACAGAGTATGGATTCTACCCATTCACAAAACCCCAATTTTGTCCCTTTCTATTTTAAAGACGTGTTTCAAGGTTTGAACGGAGCCTCAAAATAGGACCCATTGAAATCCCTTTCAGTAACAAAAGAAGCACAACAATACAGCTATTAGAATGTTGAATAAAGCCCAGAGTTTCAAAATATTGGCATGGTATGCATAACTACAGAGCCACCAGCTAGGAGATAGTAGGTTAGGTCCCCAAATAATGATTTTTGTGGTTTTGGGGAAAAAAAAAATACTATAGAAACAAAAAGCTTTTCTCAAGGGAATGAAAGCTATTCCTTTAGTGTGAATAGACAATCATATTCTTCAGTTTAAAATATACTATCTTTTGAAGTATAGAAAGAAGGAAACATATTTATGAGAGAGCTAAACCTTCAGCAATCTAAAAGCTGTATAATCACTTAAAATGCAACCGGAAAGCAATAATTCATGCTTTGAATACATACAGGCCTTGTAAATCTCATAAAACTGAGACAGTGAAGAGGTTTAGGACATGCTATCCCAAACTATGGCACCTTGGTATTTGAGGAAACAACAGAAGCAGGCCACAGAAACTAGAAAAAATTCCCCTCACTCCTCCTCCTCTGAAGCAGGCCATAAAACCTAGCTTACTTTCTCCTGAAAACAGGTAATGGGACCCTCATTCCAGAGAGGTCCTCCTATACCTTGCAGAAAAGAACGTTCTTACTTTTGAAGACACAGGGATGCAGAAAAATCTGAACAAACAGGTCTTGCTGGGCGGGATGCGGTGGCTCACGCCTATAATCCCACGATGTTGGGAGGCCGAGGCGGGTGGATCACCTGAGGTCAGAAGTTTGAGACCAGCCTGGCCAACATGGCGAAACCCCATCTCTACTAAAAACACAAATTATCTGGGCGTGGTGGGTGGGTGAGGGGGGCGCCTGTAACCGGGGTTACTCGGGAGGCTGAGGCAGGGAGAATCACTTGAACCTAGGGGGCAGAGGTTGCAATGAACTGAGATCAGGCCACTGCACCCCAGCCTGGGCTACAGAGCGAGACTCCTTCTCAAAAAATAAAACAAAAACAAAAACAAAACAAAACAGGCCTTGCTTAGTTTCCCCCAGATTAGAACCATTAGATCATACCTCTAGAACCATTAGATCATACTCCTTTCTGTCCAATTTCTCCAGAACTATTCACTTCATCAGACTGCATAAAATACATACAGTTCTCTCTGTTTCTTTGGGCCTTCATTTCTGAAGGCACCCAGTCATGTAAAACTTATATTAAACAAATCTGTATGCTTTTCGCTTGTTAATCTTTTGCTATAGGGGTCCTAGCTATGAGTCTTGTGATGGTGACAAAAAGATCAATCTTTTCTCCCCACAACACTCACTCCTCTTTTTGGTATACATTTTTAATGAAGTCAATTACTAAGGCTGTGCTTATTTTATTAAGATTAAAAACTCTTCACTTTGGGAGGCTGAGGCAGGTGGATCACCAAAGAGATGGAGACCATCTGGGCTAATATGGTGAAACCTCATCTCTACTAAAAATACAATAATTAGCTGGACGTGGTGGCGCACACCTGTAGTCTCAGCTACTCGGGAGGCTGAGGCAGGAGAATCACTTGAACCTGCGAGGCGGAGGTTGCAGTGAAGAGATTATGCCACTGTACTCCAGCCTGGCAACAGAATGAGACTCCATCTCAAAAAAACAAACAAACAAAGAAAAAAAAAAAGCCAACAAAAAAAAACCTCTTTGCTAAAATACTCTGAAGTTGTGCTTTATAGCTAATGAAGGGTAAATCACCTAATGTTGCATAGTATAGTATCTCTATTTTAACTTTTTATATGATTTCTATAAGATTTAGGAAATTAAAAACATCCATAGCCTTCTGTCCAGCTACTTAAAATAATTATCTTATAATTTATAGAAATATGGAAAGACAAAAATGAAGCTCCAGAGTTCTAAGTATTCTTTTCATGATGTTTCGGTTGGTGAAAACACTCTTATTTCCAAAGGAAGAAAAACCAGAGACTTCTTCTTCACATTGTTTCAATTCAATTGAACTATACTATGCTTTTCCTTCCACACACATATGGTTTCACATTAAGAGCAGAAAAAATAGTAGGGGCTAATAAGAGGTAAAATACAACTATCTTATCACTGAGGAATTTAAACACTATATTGCAAGTTTACCAAATGATTTTTAATTGGTCTCCAGAAATCAAATGAAAAAACTCTGCTTTAGCTTCTTACTCTAACTGAACAATTATTTATAAAGACAACTGTAAGTTTTCAAGAGTTAAGAGATACATAGTTTTCCATTTACTATGTCACTTAATGCATCATCATTAGTAGGATTTCTTTCAATAAGAGAATACATTTTTTTATGTGTGTGTGTGTATGTGTTTGTGTGTGTCTTAAAGCACCATATGCAAATCTTGCATTAACAGGTTGGTCTACTAATTTCTATGTAGTTTGAGAATCAGCTCTTCTCAAAGCTTTGCTCGGTTAATGTTTTAGACAACATATAATTCTGGCTTGGAAATAGTCACTGAATAACGTCCTTTCCTTTTCCTGGGGATGTTATAAACTGAGCTCATTCTACGTATTTCCTTACATATTGTCTGTAATCAAGTACTTTTGTTTAAACAATATACTGAATTGCTCTAGTTTGAAAAACAGAGATTAGTTTATGATCTTATTTTTCAATACTAACCTAGTGCCCAATCTCCTGGTTCGTAGCCCCATAAAAATTGATCTTATTAATTTTCCAAAAGAGGCAGCATTGACTGGGTCCAGTTTGTGTTCCTGACAGTGTCGAAGGTAGTGGTTGTATAGAGTGCTTCTGGGAAGGCTCACTCCTTCTGCTGTCTCGTAATTGTCCAACAGCCACTGGAGCTAGGGAAATAAGACACAGTAAACACAGACAAATCACATAATTTGCCAAAATTTCTACAAGACACTGCAAACGCAACATACAGAAATACTCAGAAGTTCTTCATCAAGTCTTATGATAGAGTAAACTACTGTAATTCAGAAGCTGGTAATCTACCTTTGAAAATGCTCAGAAACACTGTAAATAGCTGAACATCACTAAGGATCTCAGACAATATCCATTTCTTCAAATATTCAAGCACACGTAGAGACATACTAATTTTCTCTGTATTGATTGCAATTTTGAAAATAGATACCACTTTAAGGAGTTCAAATAATCCCATTAACTGGTCACAAATATCAGAAATATAATTGCTACGGAACAAAACATGTTACCAAGCCTGGTAGCATGGTACATAAGATGTCTTTAGTGTTGGCTTGTTATAACACATGAACAGCAGCCTGCCTGGTATCAGTGTTTATATTAAAGTTATATTCATTTTTATAGAATTTTAATTTATTTATCTCAAATTACCACTAGAAAATAACAATATGGTCTACTGGGACAGATTCTGAAAGCAGAAAGGACAAAAGGCAGTCATTTTGTCCCCAAATGAAAATAAACTAACTAGACATTGGCAAAGAGTTTACATGCAATGAAAATGAATCATTTATTACAACCATTTGAATTTTTCCGCCTCAAAACTGTGTTTATTCATAATTTTGGAAGGCACACTGCAATGGTAGTGGGTAACGCAATACTTTTTCAGTCTATGTTCACATTTTAAAGTTTTATGTTGTCTTGTGTACATTACAAAAAAACATCTTTAAAGCACTGGATGTACAAGAAAATTTTAGAAAATTGAATCCAAGTCTGTATTATTGAATTTTAACATTAGCAAAATTAAATTTTTTATTCATTTATTTATTTATAAAAGGAGAACTGAAATAGACTTAAATTACTTTCTCAAAGTCACATATTGTTTCCATGCCTGAGCTGGTTTCCAATTCACATATCCTGATTACTCCAGACCAATGTTTCACAAAAGCAGTAAATACTTCACATTACTTGCCTCAAAAAAAAATTTTCATGCCATATATAAGACAGGTGTAATAAAGAGCTGACATTTAACACACAATTCAATTTAATATAAATTTCAGAAGCCAAAGAATTCATTTATTGAGCACCAACCATGAGCCAGGTAATGTGCCAGGCATCTAGTGATGCAAAAATGAATGTGATCTCATCCTTGTCCTCTAGGAATTTCCAGTGAAATGCTAAAAATGATAATATGAACATCTAAATAAATAAAAAATTTCTCCATTTTGCTTACATATTTTAAGATTTGCAGTCAAACTTAGAACCTGAATTTTCAGACTTTTAATTTAAAAATTCATTAAAAATATTTTCAGAATTACTGATTTTAGTCATGACAACTAATTTCCAAAAACCATTTTAATGTCAAATATTCCTACATGATGTTTATGTAATTAAACGTATGTCATTAAACCCATATTGATAGTTGGCTTACAAAACACAGCCACCAAATCTACAAGACAATCCAGAGTACTTTTAAAAATAAAATTCAAATTTTGATCAGAAAGACCTGAAGTCCTTCACAGGGCACATATAGGAATGAATACGCACATTTAAATGTACATAACACCTCTTAACATATACAAGGCTGACCTATACAAGTTTAAAAAGATTACACAAAATAAACATTCGTTTTTACAATGACATAAAAGTATTACAGGCCAGAAGAACTATTTTGTTATGAATCATCTGGAACCTGATTGTTAGTAAACAAGTTGTCCAGGGGCGCTTAAACATGATTTCTGAGTATTCTAAGTGACACACAGAATAGGTTTACTACACATATTCATTTAGTGTAAAAGAGATAAGGCAGTCTGATTGGGAAATTAAGTTACTGAGGTTCAAATTAGTATTTTGCCTACAACAGTGGGACAGCATGTATCTTTAGTGTTTTGTTTTTTTTTTTTAGTTTTAAGACTTTATTAGTTTTGAGTATAGCTGAGGGAGACTACACATAAAATGCAGCAATAAAATCCTGATTCATATATTTCATCCACATGCTTTGGTAAAATGATTGAGATTGGGAAGCACTTGAATGATGTTATGGCAGTCCTAGTGAGCTGTACTGTACAACAGTGCTGGTTCTTGTTTCGTGTACGTATACTACACAGAGCAAGGGTTGACCACCTTCTATTGGCAGTCTTAATATATTAAAGAAAGGCATATAGGTTCTTGATATAAAGGACTATAAAGAAGACATGAAAGAAAAACATTCTGGAAAGGCAGACATAAAAAACGTTAATACTTTTTGAAACACAGTAGGATTTTTCAACTAAACTAATGAAGTTTCCACATCCACAAGCATGGAACACACAATATGTGTAAGTTAAAAATGCATGGAACACACAATATGTGTAAGTTAAAAACGCCAAAGATATGTTTGTATGTACATCTACATATCCTCATAAAATAATGCATATTGTCAAAGGTATAATAGTATGATTTCTTCTGAGTGAAGAAATCAATATTACTTCCTTTGCTAATGAACAGAAGACATACTATATAGAAAACTCTTAATTTAAAGGGCATTTTTTTTCAGAAATGGAATTAGTCAATATTATAATATGAACTTTACAACCAAAAGTATACAAATAATAAAAACAGATTAATGTAATTTTAGTCTGATAAAAGCAAATAAAAATAATTTTAATTAACCAGAAACAAATAAAACATTTTAAAAACTGCCCTACTTGTATACTAGTCTTCGTGCATCATTTAATTACTTAAAAATAAAGACAAATATGTAAACATGAGAGCTTACTTATTTTTCATGATCATAGGAATTATCTTGTAGATTAAAAATTGTACTACAAAATTTGAAAAAGAAAATCCAATAATAGAATATTTGAAGGATACTGTAATAAATTACGTTTTATAAAAGTAAAAGTACAAATATTAAAGTTTAATATAAAATATTTTGAGTTCAATGGTATATTTACATTTATATACATATATATATATGGGTTAATCAGCCCACTCTTAATAAAGAAAACTTTTCATAGAAATAGTGAGATAATTATAGCAAATGTTGGTACAAACTACTTAGAAGCCTAAATGATATTACTTATATCCCAATTGAATAATTTACAGGAAGTGAACCTTTTACTGGATTGGCTAGGCAGGCCTCTGAAATGGCTAGGTAAGTCAAAAAATCTGCACTGTTTTATAAACTGATTGTTCGTCTTATATAGTTTACATTCTTAAACTGAAGAAATTCTGTTTAATTCTGTTTAAATTCTTCTTCATTTCCAAACTAGTTCAAAAATGTTTACATGTATACATGCATATACATATATATTTATATAAATCACTAGTTAGTTTGAAAAATGGTATAAGAACAGGTATTTTGATGACTATTACTTTGACACTAGCAAAGCTACGTTTTGTTCCCTACCCGATGTATGCAGAAAGAGGAACTGTATTCCTTGCCAGATGCCTGGAGAGCAGGTTGAGAGAGCATAAGGAAGTCAAGTGGAGGTAAAAGCCCTGAAAGGATGGAGATGGATTTGCTGTAGCCCTGCAGGTCCCAGCTAAGAAGACTGCCAACAACTGCCCCACCTCGGGCTATATCTCCTAGAAATTCACTGTATTAACAGAAATTGATTTAAAAGGATCCACCAGATAAGACTTTGGCTGGGGATTATAATCTCTATCCTATATGCCAGTATTTAACTTTTACGTTTTGATACAGTGATGGAATTATAAATCAGACATTTGTGTCTAAAACATAGTATTAGAAAGCATTACTTTAATTGTAAGAGAAACTTGGCAGTTAAGTTTTTGTGTAAGTTTAAGTGCAACCTAAAGGCACAGGCTCCATGAGCTACCCAAGGGAAGTTAATGCCTGGTAAATATTGCTTCCTTGGGTTTTGTCTTTAATACAATGTATTTGGACATTAGTATTCCCCAATCTTAACATTCAGCAATTTAGAACTAAACAATTATTATTTGTTTTGCTCTTTTATAAAATGTCTTGTAAAATGTTTCCTGACTTCAAAAACCCATAAAATAACAAGGAATTATTTCAAAAGCCCATAAAATAACATAGCAACTTTTAACCTTTATCTTTAAAACTTGATTATTCTACTAATGAACTAACATACACTCATTTAAGGGTGGAAACCAAGATAACTGCATCTTTCAACCTCTGCATTTAATCTGTATTAATCAAGATAGATTAAAGACGAATGGTTCCTATTTTTCCCAAAGGGAAATCCTGATTGACAAATAAAAATAAACAAATATTGCACTGCCCAATTAACATCTAAATGTAACATTTGTCATTTTTTCCCAGATGGATTATTACCCATCAGGATTCATTTTTATTTCAGTTTACTAATGATACGCATTTTGACAGGCCTTATTTCTGTAATAACTTATATTTACAATACAGCAAAGTCAACGAAAAGTGAGTAAAAAAACAAGGTTTTGCTTTGAGCTGAATGTGTTTTGGTAGCTAAAACTAGCAAACAACATGAAGTAATTATTTGCCAGATTGTGAGAAATACATAAAATAGATGGCTAGAGCTTTTCATAAACTTTAAATGGAATTTTAAAGAAATGTACAACCTTAAATTTTATGCGATTATTGGGGACAATTAACAACATTTCTGAATTCAAATTCACAATGTAAAATAAGTAGTTCGTAAACAAGTGAACACACCACAACCATTAAATACTAATTTGTATTAATTAACACCAAGAAAAAGTATAAAAAAATCTTAAGTCTGCAATGAAAAGAATTAGATATTCAAATTTGATTTAGGCAGACTATACATCACTTACCTATAGCATCTTCATATATAAAAAAATAAGAAACAAAAATATTTAAATAAAAAATTATCAGACTAATAGAATTCTGTAAAGCTAAATACAAAGAACCATTCTAAAATACCAGGAGACAAACAATGTCACTCTTGGCAAGAATTTTTTAAAAGATGAGATTGTTTAGAGAAAAAAAGAGTTATTTACTCTTAAACTGAAGGCTGCTTGTAGAGAAATAACAGAGTGGCCATATATTCTTTACTCAGATGGAATACCAGAACAAGACCACCCTTTACCAACAATGTTCACGTATACATCTACTAGAAGTAAACTTGAAAACAAAGGAAACAATACAATGAATATGAGTCTCCAAATAAATGTACACATGATTGGCAACGGCATCCTAGAATTCCTAAAATAATGAAGGTAACATAAGGCCTGATCCCTTTTATTGTTTTTTTTTAATTCATTCAGCAAATATTTAGTGAGTATCTATGATGTACTAGGTACCATTCTAGGCACTAGGGATGCACTGGTGAACAAAACATACAAAAATCCTTACTTTCTTGGAACTATCATTTACAATAAAGATTTGCTAACTGCCTATTACAGATGCTGGTACTAAAATAACTACCACCATGTTAATTCTCTTAAGAATATGTTGAAAATGGGATAAGAATTCAATACCCCACCCCATTTTCTAATGTGTGGAAAGGTATAAAGCAAAGCAAGTTGGATTCTGCTGAGAGGGGATTATTTATCTTATTTAGTCCTAATAAGAGTTTTTAAAATTACTGTGAATAAGCAAATATAGAAAAAGAAAATAGGAAATCTTTGCTTACCCATATTCCAAAATAGAATGAGAATAGACTTTTCACCTCAAAAGTCATGATTAACACCCCTCTTTAGAAACAGGAAAAATATGGGATGCAAATTATCAATAATTTCTCCCAATTTTTTTACATAATAAAATTGATCCTGTGGAGATAGTGATAAATCAGGGAACTAATCACCATAAAGCGGAATTCATGTTCACCTTACAGAATCCCACAAACCTCAAATAATTCTATATTATGCCCTATGTAGTGAGAAATAAAGGTAGCACAGTTTACTGACATTTAAAATATTAATAACACTTTTTTTAAAAAACCCAATCTCTCCACTGAAAAAATTCTACGCAACATAAAATCACCAGTTAGGTTCACAGAATGTAAAATATATTTAGCAAGTAGTTATCAACCAGAATGCATGCACTAGCAAATTCCAGCTGTTTTTGATAAATCTCAGAAACGTTAAAAGCATCCTCAAATTTCCAAGGAGGAAAAAGACAACTGGATCTTCTTCTGCATTTAGGAAGAAATTAACCTCACTGATTAGTCAGCAGAAGCACTGATCCTTTCTCCACTGTTTATAAACCATCTGTAGAATCATTTGTATTTCTAAATATTTGACTATAAATATAATTTTGAATGAACTTCACTGTGCCTCAGAGGTGTAATAAAAATGAGTCAGGATAGCTGGAGAAAGATTATCACTGCACTATCAACATTTGCTCCCACTCTTTCCACATACTGAAGTGTCTCCGGCAGTTGTTAACAGTATGGAAGATCAGACATATTATGTAATAAAAAAAAATGAAGCCATGGAGTAATAAACATTTGTCATTGTTTATGCAGCTTAATTCACACATTTATTAACCTTAAACATTCTTTCATGAATTCTATAGAGAAAAGTAATTTTTAAAAATCTCTAACACAGTTGAAAAGCTTCAAACAAATCAACAAATACATCTTAAAAATGTATAAAAAACATGTTCTTATACTTCCATTATTGTTCATAAAAATATTAAGATGAATAACTGAAGTTAAATTTAAAATTAAACATAACATATTTTACTAAATTATACATGTCAAGTAAAAATGAACTCTAAGTTGAATACGAAAGCACAACTTGGAAGTCTGAAAGCTGAAACAGGTAACTAGAAACTTCAAGTTTTTTTTTTTCTTATGTCCTTGCACATTTCTGACTAAAAGGAAAAACAATTTCACTTGCCATTTTCAAAGCATAAATACAAGTTGGTCATCACCCCCCTGACACACACAGCCTAGTAGTATACAGGAAATCAGCCTTTATAATACAATCACAGATACATACCAACATAGCAGGAATATACTTATGAAATATAAAAGAGTGACATACTAAATACCAATTTTCAGAAATGAAAAAACTTGTATTTCTTAAACTGTTTCAAAAGGAAGGGCCAGAATATATGTTATTATCTTTAAGTTTATATGTATGATTTTTCACCAAAATTATAGGCATTCTCCAAGTTGGCTAACCTGGTTTTGTTTTCCATGATACTTTCCTTTGAAAAAAGAAACAAGATAAAATACCCCATCTAAAAACAAATGTGTAAGAACATAAGGAGGTATTTAGTGCTATTTTAAGATTTAAAATGAAAATGTTTCAAAAATCAAGTATTTAAAAAAACACAGTTAAAACATTTTCTACGAGTAAGTTTTAGGTTCACTGAAAAAAATCGTTTCATTTGGGTGATCTAATTTCGAGCTTTTCAGTTACAAAATATGAAAAACAAATAAGAAGTCATAATACTTTATCCCTAAATTTAAGAACAAATTGTCAGTTGGGGGAGAAATTCTAATTCTTACTAAAATGTCACTAGTGTTAAGTTAGCAGAAAATCAATCTAAAACGAATTTAAATCATGAGTCTATTTACTTTTTTCCATATATTCAGAAATCATCTTAACAAAACAAATTTTTATTCAGCATTTTCATGGGTTTCGCAAATGTGAACAGTTGATAAAAATGTTTATAATTTCACAAAACTATCATCACCTTTCTTACACTTACCAGTGTCATAGTGATATCTGCATCTGATAACAGGGAACAGCTTCAGGAAATAGTAATGGTAATTGTTTTATCTCAATTATTAGCAATTTATGGCTTGTAGACAGTCTCCCTTTTTCTTCTGGTTCACTTTAACTTCTCTTTAGGTCTTAGGACCTGAGTTCAACTATAGGGCTGTCTACTGCCCACTTTACATAGTCTAACTGGCAAACAAATAATTTTCAAACAGTTTGTCATTGGATTTGACATTAATAATCTTTTTTCTACTTAAAGAATATTACCAGTCACACAAGTAGACATGGCTGTTTGACAGGGATGCAGATTACAAGTATTTGCTTCATAGTAAATAAATATCAAACCAGAACATTTTAGATATTGAAAATCACTATTATTACTTTTTACAAACAACGGCAACTTGTTACTAACTTGAAAATATTGTATCTGTACCCAAAGAGTACAGAAATCTAATAAGGCATTACACTGGAGACTCTTAGTTTTTGGATATTTCACGGTACAAAATAGCCATTAAATGACACAGAGATCATAAGGGGCTGAGAAAGGAAGGTTAAGAAGCAAAATAAATAAGTAAATAAATAAAACAAGCATTTAGAGGCAAGCAACACATGCAGAACAAGCAAGAGATTAGTGTACATGAAGAAGAGGCAACTTACATGGCTGTTGAGAAGAGAGCTTCTGTGAGTGGACAGACCGTCAGACTTTTGCAGCGTCTCAATCGCCATTTCAATCTGATAATAGATGTCATTAAAAAAAGGGCTCAAGACAAGATAGTAATAAAAGGCTGACCAGAGAATTTCTGATAGATTCTTTAAAGTTCAACTTCTTCCTCAATGGTTGTTAATGAATAGCTATCGCTTAATGTGTTTCCCCCCACCTCTTCCCCACCCTCCAGAGAATAAAATAAAAATATGCCCACTAATAAGAAGCCCATTCACAAAGTAAACCTTTTTTGAACATTCCATAATTATCAGAATGGAGACCTGAGGAGCAGGAACCCCGGTGGATTTTTCTCCTTATGAATAAACATTCTTGACTTACATAGTTCAGGATGTGGGATAGTAACCATTCTCTTTCTAAATAGTCTCCCACCTAAAGAGTATTCAATATTAGTGCTATTCTGTCATGAAAGGAAAATCATACTGCAGATTTTGAGTTTAATATGCATTAATATTTTAATGCAAATGAACAAGATTCTTTCATTAATGTCCAAAAGTTACTAAATCTATACAGTCCTCCATTAATCCCGTATTAAAATATGGAAGTAGGGGGTGATTAGTACGACCAAATATGAAGAAGTAGTGCTGATCCCTACATTATATTTTAGGATATAGTGGTAAGGCAGAAATATTAGAAATGACAGCAGAAATGGAATGTAGAAGAGAAAATAATTCAGAGCCAACAAAGAGAAGGGACAACCACAGAAACAGCTTTATTCCATGAAATCTCACCATAGCATGAGAAATTATTAAATACCAGCTGTTACTGATAAATGTGATATACTCTTAATAACCTCATATTTAAAGTTATCTATCTTTCAACTCCTGGAAGTATTGCAAGTTCCATTAAAAACAGGTACTGAACACCCTGTATTTGGACACTGAGCTATACTAACAATATTAGCTAAATTCAAAAGAAAAAAAATCACACCGTGCAATTTAAGAGAGAAAATTGATTTCATTATTTTTAACAGTCTGATTACATCAACAATTCAGTATAAGCAGTTATAAAAATATTTAGAGCTTTAAAACATAGTTAACTGTCTTATACTTTGGCTATGGAAATCGAAAAAGATTTGAAATTTTAACATACTGCCCCCCCGCCAAGAAAAATAATGCAGTAATATCCATTGCAAAGTCTTAATTTTCTACCAAGTTGCCAATTTCTTTATGGTAAAACACTTTATACACAGAATATTCAGTATCAATTATATCAACATTAAATCTAATTTTCTTCTAAACAACTTAGGAATTAATAGCTTTAATTTTATTTTACATTATTTTCCCACATTGCTAATTCTTCCCTGGAGTTAATAAAATATAATACTGAAAAGCATATGTTAGGTTAAGAAATCATTAAAAAATTCTTAAAATAGATATTAAATTAATTCATAGGAAGATATAATACAATTTATCCTACTGCTAACTTTTTTTAGACAACAAAATTAAGTAAACTGGCTTATAAAACATTCTCCGCCAGAATGGATGTTAATGCAGTTTATCACTATACTTGAAAATAGTGATACTGCACAAATGAAAACAGATATATTACAGAAAGAGTAATGTAAATGTAATGAATAAACAAACATTTTGCCAAAACATTAAACTGTGAAACTATAAAGGACTTTGGTATAACATCTCTTAAAACATAATCAATAAGTGCTTTGTTTTCAAAGGGAAAACAGAGCAGAAAACAAATCAAAGGATTCATGTGACTACAATTCACTTATAGGAAGAATTTGCTCAAAACCCTAATTTGCCATTATACCTATATTTTCTTTAAAGTTTGAGTGTGGAGAATTTGAGGTAAGATTTCAGTCTAGCAAATAAAAATAAGATGATCTGTAACTTTTGATATTATAATTTTAAATGAAAGGTAAATTACCAGATATATAATTGCTGAGCAACACTAAAGAAGAAGTCCATGCTCTCAGTTTGTTAATAAGCACCTTTCAGTTGGATAAACCAGCACTTCTTTTTCTGGGGAAAAAAAAATCAGAGACCTGCTTCTGTTATTGAAGCTGTTATTTTATGGTGGTCCTAGATTTCCAGATGATTCCTTAGAAGTCCAGGCTTTTAGGAAACAGCCTTCTCATTTCTGGCCAGTTTTTTAAGAACTTTGGAAAGGAGCAAGGAAATACGTGGGTGAAACTGGATTCCCCAGGAATGTATACACTGACATTCCAGAATGCTTTGGACCTTCAGAATTTTGGTTCTTCTTTGTGTCACTTTGTAATATAGGTAACAAAAGGGGTATTTCTTTTGGCTTTAGGAATCTTCTGCCTAACCGACTTAGGCCTGTGCTGAATTTGTGGAGCCCGGGGAATGGAAAGGCAGAAACATGGAATGATAGGACAATCAAGAAACAAAGACTGAGTTTTTCTACAAGGAAGACACCAGTCTTAGCATGCATGTTAGAGCCTACTTGGAAACCCACCGGCTTCCAAATACTCATGAATTCTTTAAGGCTTATTAATTAGTCCAATGGGATAACCAGGTCATTTAGTTACTATCTCACTGATGAGAACTTCTGAGACGCATACAAAAAATTAACATTTATTATATTCGTTTAAAAAATATATTGAAGGGAATTCCAATCTCATGAAAGGATCACAGCCCTGATTACATTTTTTAAAGAACAGTTTTTTTCTTTTTTAAGTACATAGTAACTGGGTGACTGTCATTTATAAAGTTGTGTGCAAAAGATCATGATTACAAAAATTTTTCATACTTCAATAGACATTACAATCCAGTAAGAGAGATAGGGTATATAGTCATATATATGAATAAATGCATAATTACCCAGATTTTATGGTTTGTCTGTGTCCCCAGCCAAATCTCATCTTGAATTGTAGCTCCCATAATTCTAACATGTTGTGGGAGGGAGCCAGAGGGAGGTAACTGAATCATGGGGGTGGTTTCCGCAACACTATCCTTGTGGTAGTAAGTCTCACGAGATCTGATGGCTTTATAAAGGGTTTCCCCTTTTGCTTGGCTCTCATTCTGTCTTGCCTGCTGCCATGTAAGATGTGCCTTTTGCCTTCTGCCATGACTGTGAGGTCTCCCCAGACATGTGGAACTGTGAGTCCATTAAACCTCTCTTTCTTTATAAATTACCCAGTCTCAGATATGTCTTTATCAGCAGCATGAGAACGGACTAATACACCAAACAAGACTGTTTGTAACAAAAATACAAGTATAGTTCAGAAAGGTGGAAGAAAATAAGAGTAGTAGTCTTTAACTTTTGAGGAGTCTTTAACCCTTTTGAAGATGTAATGAAAACTGTGAACTCTCTACTTGGAAAAAAATGTATGTAAGAACACCTACAAAATTCACATTTATTTTCTTAGTTTATTGACTCTCCGAATTCAAAACCCAAGTATTAAAAGATGGAAGTATTCAGGGGGTAAAAGGGAAATCTAGGAAGAATCGACTTAATAGAACCAGGAGTCAAAAAAGCACAGGGTGTGTCCATAATTGGGAAATGGCAAAAAACCTAGTTTGTAGGGCATGAGCTATAAATATACATTTCATATATATATGGGAGCGGTATGAGTGAGGCTGAAAAAAATAGGTTGGAAGTAGATAATGTATGTGGGAATTAGGGAAAAAGCGATGTCATTAAGGTTTTGAGGAAAGTGTAGGGATGTATGAAAAATGCTAATTTTCAGATAAAGCCAGGAGATGGGTTTTGCTAGGTATAATGGGCCATGTTAGTAGTAAAGTTAAAATAGGTAAGAGGAAAGTGTGCCCAATAAATGCTTGTGGATTGAATAGAAGCTTCTGGGACAACAATAAGGGAAGAGACTATCACTCACAGGAATATATTATGACAATGGCGGGAAAGTGAGGGTGAGGAAGAGGCAAGAGGAATAATGCAGAAATGGGGAAGAAGAGTAATAATGAGTTGGAATTTTGAAATTACAAAGATATGAAGGATTAACTAGCTGCATGATTCCAAATGGATTACTAATGTCACTCCTATGAATTCGCCCATGATTTGGGTTTATCATAGTTTCAAGGGGGTAGTTTCATGCATATGGGGAGGAGTTGGATAAAGGGACAGAGGGATAGTGTGCAAATTAGCTAGATGCTAGATAAAATGTTAGTGAATTAGGATAAGTTTCTACCAGTCTCTTCAAAGATTAAATCGATTTGTTAAATTTTCCATTATTGTAGATTAGATATTTAAGTAAATATTTGTTCAGTCTTCTGAGAGTTTACCAATCTCAAGAAAAAGATGGCACACATCAGCATTTGACACCCAAAATACTAATCCCAAAGTGGACTGGTGAGATCACATGCTTCCAGTTTATTGTGGATCACTTAAAAAGTTAAGTTCATTCCTTAGGAAAAATTTATAAATTCTGCTAAATAGAAATATGCGTAACACTAAATGATGTTTTACCATAATACTCATGACTGTCATATTTAAGACAGGAAATGATGATCAGTTAACACCGATGGAAAATTTGCTTAAAAGTAGGCTCACTGATCCAGAAGATTACTGGCCCAAATGTTCAATGCGATATTCTTATATATCATCTGAGAAAATGCTCCTAACCTCAACAAAGATATTATATCCCCATAGCTTCATGCAATGAAAATGATTACGTTACCAGGTAGCTAGAATTTAAAAGTGATTCAAATTCAAGCTTTTTTTAAAGTATAAGAATAAAATCAACCAACTATTCCTCTTCCAGTATAACTATGGTGTGTGCTGCTGCTGATAGTGGGAAATTCGTTAAACTAGCAGAGTTTCAAAAATACATAAGTGATTAAAGGCAAACTGAATGAATTAAATAACTGAATACTACTGGAAGGAAGGGATATTACTTCTTGCTGTTACAGTTTGACAGAGCATGGGTAAGGTGGTTCTTTAGTAGAAAATTGACAAATAATACCAGGCATTCTGATAGGGGCAGGTTAGTGAACATTTTAGGCAAAGCAAACAAGGTAAGATTGCATAATGTAGGTTCAAGGAAGGGTAAGATTGGTGATATGATTTGGCT